TGATGTCAGTCTTACATGTAACATCATGGACTTGTTGGCTCCACTGTATCTAAAAGAGCAGATTTTGCACAAAATGGGGTTAAATTAAGAGCATTTTTTAATAATATGAGATTAAATTAGAAATGAGTGATGAGAAGGGAGATTATGCTTAGTTTCTGATCTGGATTAGGTTGCTGTTGACAAGATTTTTGCAGCTTTTTTCCTATATTGGTTCCACTGCTTTGAATTAAATAATAATGAATGGATATTTCTGTAGAATCCCAATTGAATTAAAGTTCCTTTACCACTTAGAATTGAAAGGTGTTCAAAGTGGTATATTTGCTGAAATTGCCATTTATTCCCCCCAGACAAACACTTCCAAAGCTCAAGACACACAAAACTAGAACAAACATTGCAACTTGAAATTGAGAAAGTTAACACAAACACATGAAGACAAGAAAGAGTCCCTTGTTATATTGAATATACCAAATAGCAACTATGTATACTTTGAAAAAAAATCAGAATTCTAGTAAGAAAAACAATTTTTTCCATTCTCATGCATTGGATATACTCTTCTGGTCTAAAGTTTTGATTTATCAGAAGCAAACAACAGTTCTCTTTAGCCACATAATGCATACAGAGCATGCCAAAATTGTGCAAAAAAAGAATCAATACTAAGTGTCAGTTTCTGATAGCTTTGTTCACACAAAGTAGCATGTTTCTCTATGAGTAGTTTCACTCACTTCAAAGGAATTATTTGTAGAGTAAAGCTATTCAGAGTGAGCAAAGGTATCAGAACTTGTCTCAAAAGAGTGATTAGTTGTCAGCATCACCACCTGACAGAATTAAAAAAAAAAAAAAGTGTCCCAGCCACAAGTCCTTTAAGCATTTATGACTTCCCCGCACCAGCTCTCTCTCTACTTGGGGATGAATTCACAGATAAATACAAATAAGCATTAGCAAACGGATTCTGCATAATATTTCTCCTTTGAAAGTCATCGGTAAGAAGGCTTAAAATAATTTTGGATACACTGAATGAAGATGATTTACTGTTAAGACTGAAGCAAAGTGGATTGCATTAGTCAGAGGTGATTAGAGTCTGAATGAGAAATAAGATGATAGATAGGTAATTAACTAACCAAAATATCAGAAGAATTTATTACATATGTGATATATCGTAAAATGAATGTGCACATCTTATCTCTCTGGAAATGGTTATTATTACTAGAGCATAAAACAGTTTATTAGAAGGAGCATTCATAACAACTGTAGAGTCTCACTCAGACAAATACTGTATGTGAATAACAGCTTAGACACAAATAAGCCTGGAGATACAAGTAATGAAATAAAATAGAATACCAAAATTATATGTCAGATATTTGGACACATTATCTGACTGTAGCAAATTCGGATCCCTTTTTTCTACATCTCAATTCTACAGAACTATTTGTGAGATAAAGTTCTATTCAACATTAGTAAGGATAAGAGCCCGACTATTTTTTATTTATGCACATACATTGTCAATCTTACTGGCTGTGTGCATGTCCCTTCTTATATTCTGTTTATTATTTAATAAAGGTATTGCCAGACCTGCAAAAGAAAAAAAATGAACTATATTCTGTCCTCTTCATGCATTATCCATAAAATAATGTGATTTAAATTCTTATTGCTATGTATATTTTTAACTTAGTAGTGATGTGATTGGCAGAAAGAATATTCCTTGAAATTTGAATCTGAATTTATAGTTTGGGCAATTTAATTTGTAATTATTGAATAGGATATGATTAACACATACTTATGAATAGTGTTGTATGCAATATGCATAAATGGTTTGTATGGCATTACACAGGAAAGATCTGACACTCTTAGTTCTGTGAAAGCTCCAGGCATTTTTTGTTGGTTGGGTTTGGTTTGGTTTGGTTTTTGCTGTTTTTGAAAGTCTAAAAGTAGCACAATACAAAAACTATTCAATTACTTGTCACGGCTCTTTTTTATGTTACTTTATTGACAATAGTAGAATTTCCCTTATGCAGCATAATTCTATCAGTAAAACATGCTCAGATTGCTTGAGCAGTGGAACCATTTTTCAGGTTTGCTTTATCTTCAATATGTAGTCGTACCATTGTCTATACCAGGAGTAGCAATAAAATGGTGGCAGCACTTGGCAGATCACCGCCACTATATTTACTTGTATCTCTGCAGGTATCAGAGATTGCAGTTTCCGTGGGCCACGGATCACCATTCCTGATCAATGGAAGCTGCGGGAAGCAGTGCAGAGTGGAATACCACTTCCTGCAGCTCCCACTTGCCATAGACATCAGGATCTGTAATCGCCTAAACCTGAGGATGCACAGGTAAATTTAGCATTGGCAAACCACCAGGGGCTAACCTTAGTGGACTGGGTCTGCCCCTGGGCCGGTATTTACCCACTCCTGGTCTAGTCTAATTTATCCAAATCCCAATGGATTTGTTTATTCTTGAGAATGATTTACTAAGCCCTGCGATCACACTTATTCTTCAGAGAATGGCTGGAGGGCTATTATATTTCTGAGTTAAATAACTGTATCCGCACTTAAGAGCGGGATACCACTTAACATTACCAGTGTAAAATGGAAGAACTTCTGTGTCTAGTCAAAGCTAACCCTGACTTACTTAGACAGCAATTATTGCCATTCATTAACATCCAGACTGGTTTCCAGGTAAGCATCTCTATTAATGGCCAGATATTGCAAGTTAGGCATTGCGGAGAAAGAGTGCACATCAGAAGGCACAATTCCGCACCATGCTCTTTGGCACAAAGATGGATCATACATGCACAGAGCCCAGATTGCTTTGACAGCTGTACTGGCCAGAGGTCAGGCACTAGCACCAGGGTCATGGTTCTGTCTCCTTGCACTCTGATCACTGTGAGACAATTTGTCTCTCTGGGGCTATGTCTACACAGCAGTGTTATTTTGGAATAATATCAGTTATTCCAAAATAACAGTCTGCATCTATTCTACAAGCAGTTATTTCAACATAATGTCAAAATAATGGTGAGCTGGAGGACTTCTTACTCTGACTCCTGTAACCCTCATTTTACAAGGAGCAAGGGAAGTCGAAGGAAGAGTGCTCTTTCTCGGACTTCCTGCTGTGTAGAAAGCGCCAAAAGCCGAAATAAGCTATTTCCACTTAAGATAAGCAATTGATGTAGCTCAAGTTGCAGAGCTTATTTCAGCTTTAGCCCTGCTGTGTAGACTTGCCCTGGGTGAGCTCTGATGGAATGGTTCAGTTTTTGTGGGAATACTGGTGGTAAGATGGTCAGATGATGAGTCTGGTATAAATTCCCACAAATGTAAGAGATATTTCCTCTCCATTGATACCATGCTCACTAAGTTCTTGACAAAATTAAGGACTGCTACTCCCCTTCATAGTCCTCATCTTCTCTGGTGCTTTTGACCTTGTCAATCATCCTCTCCTTCTTGACCTCTTATTCTCACTCAGCTTTTGAGATACCTCTGGAGGTGTTTGCTCAGCCTTTGTCCTCAAGTATTTTTTTACTTACTTTGCACCTTGTTTTTGGATAATTTTCTATACTTACACAGCTTTCGGTATCATTTATATGCCAATAATAAGTAAACCATCACCGTCCATCCAATCCTACATTTTTACCTGTCTCTATGATATCTCCTCTAGTTGTCTTGTTGTGAATTTAAACATATCATGTCCAAATACAAACTTGTATTTCCTCACAAATTCTCTCCACAATTTCCCTTTCCTTTTCAGTAGTAAAAAAAATTGCCATCCTCCATATATCACAGAGCTTTCTGATTCCTCCCTCTCCTTTGAGTAGTATTCTCAGGCCATAGATTCTTCCTCCTAAATAGCAGTAAGACCATCTTTTCTTTTCCATAATCTCAGGGTCTTATTATATTCAGTCTGGACTACTGCAATATCCTTCTCTCTGGCCATGCCAGCACACACACATAAAATGCAGGTCTTCCTTGCTTGTCACTTTGATTATAGCATTCCCTTCTTCACATTGGCTCCCCGAGTGTTATCACATCAAATCTGAGCTTCTTGTCATTACCTTCAAAACACTTGGAACTGTGCACCTTTTTCCTCTCCCTTGCAATAGTTCACACTGTACTCTTATTTCCTTTCCTCTGCCAACATTCACACCCTCATCTGCCCATTTGACAAGTCTCACACATTTGTTTCTGTATCTTCATTCAGAACACTATGGTTATTACCGCATCCCTGAGTTAGTCCAAAAAGCCCACAACTCATCCACATTTAAGTCCCTTTTAAACACCAATTTCTACCATGCAGCCTGTCTCTCGCTACCTTGGCCCTGCCCTGAGACCCCGCACACAGCCAAACCTCTGCTCTGATTCTTGCAACCCTGACCCTCCTGCTCTGAGCCCCTCCTCATCCCCCAAAAAAGCCTTGACTCCTGAACTCCCCTACTCCCAGCCCCCGGCCGTGAACCCACTCCTTAAAGACCCAAGCAAATGCTGGGTCAATGTGCTAATATTAAATAAGTCAAATCAAATCAAACACACACACACACAAAATTTGATAGTCCCTTTCCCCTAAGCTTCGTCTACCTTTCCATCTTTGGACTGAGAACTTCTTGGGGCATCCCTTCTTGAAAATTTGAAAAGCACCCAGCAGTCGGTAGATGTTATTGTAAACTAATACATATTATTAATTTAAAGTGAATAAGGAACTCAGTGCCTGACCCTCTGAGGGATTTTCAGAGTTAGCCCCAGATAAAGCTCATTAATCTTGTCAGCCTGAGACATGGAACATCCTGGTCGTTATTCTAGGGGGGAAAAAAGATATGTATTTGCATTGACTACCATGGAGTTGCACCGAGGATGGATTTGGCCCACTCTTCTCTATTTCTGCATGCTCAGTAGAGTTCACTGTAGTTTTCAATACTATTAGGCTACAGCATATGGGTTTGTTCCTGATTTCACATTGAACACAACTTGGCAATCATTCTTGAAATAGGAGATGCATTTTAAAAGAATTACCTTTTCTTGATATTGTCGTCGTGAGGAATCTAAAGACTGAATTAGGGCAGTGGCATGACCAACAAACATGGCATAACATGTAGCCCCCACAATCATACTCAGCATAGTAATCCAGAGATCGGACATGCTGACAGGGGCCCGGGCTCCATAACCAATACAAAGCATATGGCTCATGGCTTTGAAGAGTGCATACGAATACTGCTTTCCCCAGGAATCATTCTGCAAGAAAAGAAAAAAGTGACTGAGCCAGCAAGAAGATGGAGGACAAAGTATTTTGATCTATGTAGCAGGAAAATTATAGATCACTGATTTTGAAGGAACATCCTGGTAATGTATCCTTTCTGTATAGGAACGAGACATTCTTCTTATTAAATCTACTTTAAGAAAAAGCATTGTGGAGCCTGTCAAATATTGCTTAACAGTGACAGAAAATAAGTGGACTATTTTAAAAGCAAATATTTTTCCTCATACTTGCATGTTAACCTAATTAAGTTAAGGATAAATGTCAATTTTGATTTAAAGCCCAGTCATCCAAATCTTCCACATACACAAAGCTGGTATTGTGGTTTGATGTCCAATAAGATAGAACCTTTCCCTTCCCTTCCCTTCCCTTCCCTTCCCTTCCCTTCCCTTCCCTTCCCTTCCCTTCCCTTCCCTCCTCTAATAACTAAGGTTTCTTCTACACAGTAGTGTTATTTCGGAATAATTGATGTTATTCCAAAGTAACATAGTGTCTGTCTACACTACAAGCCTTTATTTCGAAAAACTGTTGAGCTGGAGGACTTCTTGCTCTGATTCATGGTAACCCTCATTTTGTGAGGAGTAAGGGAAGTCAGAAGAAGAGTGTTCGTTCTTCGACCTCCTGCTGCGTAGACAGCACCAAAGGCCAAATTAAGCTATTTTGACTTAAGCTGCTCAGTTGACGTAGCTGAAGTTGCATAGTTTATTCTGACTCTAGCCTTGCTGTGTCCATGTATACTAATTGTTTATCTTGCCACCTGTGATGTGATAGGTTAGAATATAAAGTTGCTTGGGTTTTTTTGGTGTGTGTATGTTATGTTTTTTGTTGTTGTATTTTACCACTCTCATTTGGACTTTCATTTTCTCAAATTTTGTGCAAAATTGTTTGTTGAAAAGAGGTTTTGCTCCCCACTTGGCAAGCCACAATTTCTTCAGGTAAAAACTTCAACTATATAGAACTTACAGGTTCAGTTTGAACAAGCACAATAAAATCTCTCTGGAAATAAATCCCACACTGTTTCTACCCTAAGAGTTATTTGTTTCCCACATAGCACATATATCCTGAATTCTGCCTGCAATGAGGTTTCAGTATAATATGTATGGATGCTCTCACTCATAGGGTATGTATGCTAGGTAGGCAAATGAGGCGACCGGAGCTGCAAATGAAGCCCGGGATTTAAATGTCCCAGGCTTTATTTGCATGTTGCCGTCCGGTTGCCATTTTGAAATTTCACTAGCCTGAACTCACTGCCGTGCAGCTACACACGGCAGTGAAACGTTAATTCGAATTAAGTCCTTAGTTTAAATTAACTGTTACTCCTCATTCCATAATTCCATGAGGAGTAACAGTTAATTCGAACTAAAGACTTAGTTCAAATTAATGTTTCACTGCCACGTATAGCTGCGCGGCAGTGAGTTCGGAATAGTGACATTTCAAAATGGCGACTGGATGGGAACATGCAAATAAAGCCTGGGATATTTAAATCCCGGGCTTCATTTGCAACTCCGGTTGCCTCATTTGCCTACCTAGCTCGAATTAACAATTGTATTGTAGGAATCATGTATTTTCTTTTAACTAGTTTAAATAAATAAATGCCATTTGCAGCACACATTTGCATTTAATAAGTATACAATGCATCAAGACTGATTTATGATAATTTTAACAAATTAATACATTGTTTTCAGCTATTCGTCTTTTCACTAAGATCAGCTTTAATTCTTTTCTCTCTCATATTCATCAAAACCATCACAATTCACAAATAATCTATCTACATTTAATCTGAACTCATGACTAAAGTCTCCACAGCTCCTTCACAAGATTTTAATGCTGTGTAGGTGTTTGCAAAGTGCTGCTTTAGCCTTGTATAGGCTTAAAAGTGCTACAGACATTGTATAGCTGACAAAGAAGCCATTGGATTCATCTTAGATTTTTTCTATTTTCTTCAGCAGAGAAATAAAACTAATGCTGTTTAAACCAGTTAACAGTCTGTTGCTTTTATTGTGTTATTAATCTTACAGTACAAATGAAAAAAACGCTTTGCCACAGACAGATAGCTTCCTGTATAACGTCAGACATGACACAATGAGGGGGAGAGAGAGGAAAAACAGTGATGACATCAACAAAATTCAGTGTTAGTCAGCAAAGGCCAGTGCACCGCAGGATACAAACAAAACAAAACAAAATTTCTTTAAATGAAATTTGAGGGGGCGAACATACAAACACAAATCAGATACATTCACTGGAGCCAGCATAGCAGGACTGAATCTTTAGCAGAGATTTAAATATGGATGTAAATACATTAATTCACAGATTTTGTTGCTCAAACCACTCATCTACTCACCCTCTTACTTTTTTCTGAATAATCAATTAATTTATAAGAAATTACCTGGAAAATTCTGGACAGTGTGTGTGTGTGTGAGAGAGAGAGAGAGAGAGAGTGTAAAACGGAGATGCTGAGTCAATACTATTTTTGGAAGGGAAGCTTGAGTCTCAATAGAATTCAAGAAGCTTGTTTTCTTTGTTCATTGATCTGTCCCCAAATATAGCATATCCTTAAAATGTGCTTTATTTCACATTTTTCAAGTTACATACATCATTCTAATACTAAGCTTAATCTACAGAAACAAGTATAATAATGATCTCAGTATTTTCAATACATGTTGTCTAAGCCTAACGTTTGTCAGCATCAGCCTCAGATTTGTCAGTGTTCAAGGCTGGAATTTTCCACAACTAGATGCCAAAGTGCTAGTCTTTGCTATAGACAAAAGTGCAGAATGAATCATTCCTCTGATACCAGAGTATAGAATTCTCCACATCCAGCATTTCTCCATCAGCTTCATAAAGCAAATTTTATTTGATGTATTCTGAATACTGCTGAATTACTCAAAATTCATAATATATAGTTAACTTTGTTTTGTTTACACATTCACACTACGTTATAATTTAACATAATTATTGTCATTTTAAATGCTTCCTGAAATGACCCACATTTCCTCCTGCTGTGGAAAAAAAATTGCTACTCAGTTTTTCCAACTAAAAGGTAAAAAAGGGCATTTAATTTCTTATTTGACAGTGAGTTGATCACTGGTTCCAGATTAGCAATAATCGGTTTAAACTATTTTAAATGGAATGACATTAATTTGGAAAAACTATTAAAGACAGTAATTGTGAGGAATACCAAAGCTGTTTATCCAAGGATTGATTGCATAATCTAGCTTGATGACACTCGGAAATCCTCAGACGTGTAAAAGCAGTGATCACTGATGATTTGCAATTACTTTTGTAAGTATAAGCATTGATTTAGAGTTGTTATCCCACAGACTGCATTCAGCACAGTGCACTCTTGATGTTTAAGGATATTATACATCAAGGGTACACTTGTTTCCTCTGATCGAAGGATATTATCCTCTCCCTCATAACTCCACATAAGCCTGTTATAAATAACTGTTTTATAATGTGTTAACTTCCCAGCTCATAAGCTCAATTTCACAGTAAGTTTATAGGACATATTTAGGGGACAAAAAGGTAAACTAAACTAATTTGCTCAGTAGAATAAGAGTTTGTTTTAATTAAATCTGAAAAGGTTATTAGTAGGAGATTCTTCTGTGATCAGACAAATCATTTCTATTCCCAGATTGAAGAACTTTCCTTTTATCAGCTGGCCATGCCCTTTCATTCAGATATAAATTGACTGAGAAATCTTATAGCAAGCACGTTATTTTGCAGGTGGGAGTGGGGTTTTCCCACATTTTGATTCCATTCCACCCCCTCAAATTATATTAGCTACAGATGTCAGGAAGGTGCAGGTGAGTTTTCAAGGGCATGCTTTACTCGCTGTGGACCAAACATATTTTTTGCTACTCAGGAGAAATTAAATTGTATTGTTGTTGAGATGAAAGAAAGCATAAAGAGGCAGCTGCAGTGTAGCTCAGCAGTGGCTCTAGAGCAGTGGTTTTCAAACCATTTTTCTCATGACCCAACTGAAGAAAATTGCTGATGCCCACAACCCAACATAATTTGACTAGAGTGTGGGCTTGGGGGTGGTGCTGATGGGGTACTTAAGGGGGCTCTGGCTTTGTGCGCGCGGGGGGGTCAGGGCCAGGGCAGGAAGGGCTAACCTAGAGCAGCTCCCGATTAGTGGTGCAGTAAGGGGGATAAGGCAGGATTCCTGCTTCTCCTGGCACCTCAGACTATGCTGCGCTCCAGAAGCAGCCACCATCAGGTTCCCAGGTAATAGTAGTGCGGAGCTAATGCTTGGAGCAAGGGCAGTGCACAGGGCCCTGTGCGCTCACTTCCCCCATCACCACCTAAGGAGCCTGGCCTGCTACACAGTCTGTGGTGGCAGGACTGGGAGGTAGACTGCCTTAGCACTTCCACTGGCCACCCTGAAGCAAGGAGACCCAATGCCTGATATTCCACAACCCAATACTGGGTGGTGACCCATAGCTTGAAAACCACTGTTCTAGAGAAGTGCCCTACCAAAATCTTGAGGACATGAGCCAATGTCCCAGGAAGTCAACTGTAGTCTTTCCAGAAACTTCAGTGGACATTGGATTAAGCCCTAATACTCTAAATATGACTTTATTTTAACTTTGAACAAGAGTTCTTAAAATTAAAATACAATTAAGAAACTAATCAAGCATGCATAGCACAAGCATTTGCATAATATATTAAATGCTCTTACAAAACTGAGAGTTGAGAGAGGACTGTATCTGTATGTTTACAACAACACTGGTAATTAACACCCAAAACAGGGAGAAGGAGAAAGAGGTTTTGAATAAGAATTCCATGCATTCATTATCAATCCCTGTGCCACTCATCCTGCATGTCCAACTTTTCTTCCCCCTGTTACACTTGGTTACAGAGAGAAATGTTATCATACTTAGAGGGTTCTAATATAAGTTGTACCTCTTTTAACCAGGACTCTCTGGTCTGGCAACATCTGTGGTCCTGGACCACAGGGTCCAGGAATAAGGAG